TTTACTTCTCTCTCTCTCTCTCTCTCTCTCTCTCTCTCTCTCTCTTTCTCCATTGATCAACTAATGTGACTTCTTGCGATGAAGGTTTGAATACATGTATTTTTGTATTTTACAGTTTCACGTTGGTAAGACAAAAAACTAAGATGGATCCCATTAATTCAGCTGGTGTGGCATCTAGCACATGCCTAAATGTATGCAGCATGGATGAAATCCTTGATGGTGATTGTGGCTCACCAAACAAAGGCCAAGAAATAAAAGAAACATGTGTAGGAATGATGTTTGGATTAGAAGATGATGCATATGAGTTCTTTAAGTTTTATGCAATGGCCAAAGGTTTTGGTATTCGCAGGGGGAGTACTCATAACAAGAAAGTTAAACAGATCTATAGGGTTATATTTGCTCGAAGGAAGGTTTAAACAAGAAAAACTTAATAAAAGTGGAAAGGTTTTCCCTCAGTTAAGATGTGGGTGCATGGTTAGGATGTGCATAAGTGTAAAGAAGACGACGAGTGAAAAGTGACTAGCATTGAGCTAGATCGCAATCATGATCTAGTTAGTCCAAGAAAAGCTCTTCTAATTCTCACACACTGATCATTGTCGAGTGTTACAAAGTCATTGTTACATTCAATGAGCTCGGCAATAGTTAAACTTAGATATATTCATGGCATATCATAGAGGAGGCTAGAAGGATCGACAATGTCCCTTGTACACAAAAGAACATCCAAAATGAAATAACAAGTGATAGAAGAAAACTTAGAGTAGAAGGTGACAATTTAATTTTGCAAAGGCTCTATAAAAAGAACCAATCAAACCCATCATTTTTCGATAGATTGAGATTTGATGATGATGATCACATTCTCAGTATCTTATGGGTAGATTCTACATCTAGAGTTTCCTACCAGTGCTTCTCTGATGTGGTTGCCTTTGATACCACATATAAGACAAATACGTTTGCTATGCTCTTTGCACCTGTACTTGGTGTAAATCACCATTTCAATACAACTTTCTTTGGATTTACCTTAATATTTGACGAGAAGATAGAATCATTTATATGGGTATTCGAAAACTAGTTGGAAGCTATGAGTGGATGGCAGCCGGGAGCTATTCTCACTGATCAAGATTCTTCAATTTCTTTTACAGTGAGATAAGTTTTTTTACCAAAGTAAGCATCATTATTGTAAGTGGCACATATTTGCGAAAATCAAAGAAAAAATGTGTCATGTCTTGTGTATGCATCATTCTTATTCAGATATCTTTAGGAGGTGTGTGGCTAGCCCAACAATTGAAGAATTTGAATTGGGATGGAAATCAATGATTGAGAATCATAAGATGGAAGATAATGAATGACTCAATAGGCTTTATGGTTGTCGCATGCAATGAGTTGATGCATACTTGGCTGACACGTTCACTGCGGGTATGTCTTCTACTCAAAGGAGTGAAGGGATGAATATACACTTCAAGATGTACTTGAGACCCACAACAAGCATGTATACATTATTAGAAGTTACTGCAAAAGTCCAAGATAAGAAGGTGCGAAAAGAGAGGGAAAATGCCTTGAAAGATATTCAAACTACTCCATTCTTGCAAACAACAACTTTCATTAAGTCGTATGCATAAACAATCTATACTCAAAAGATTTTAAAGATATTTGGGGAATGTGGCTAATTGCTTTAATTTTACGAGAGAGACAGTTGAAGATACCTTTAAGGTGGCAATCCCGAGGATCGGATCTAGACCCTACTTAGTGAAATTCAATTGCCATGACAATTCTATTTCTTGCAGTTGTCACTTGTTTGAGGGGATGGGCCTTCTTTACAAGCATGTCCTAAAGATTTTTATGTTGAAAGATATGTTTGAAATCCCTCCACAATATATAATGAGGCGTTGAACCAAGGATGTAAAGAAGGGAGTTTTTCTTGTTGACTTTGGGGAACAAATTAAAGTAACATCTGACTACCGTGCTCCATTAGATACAATGAGGCTATGCAAGCAAGTCGATCCATTTCCGAGCGAAATGGAATTCGTCAGTTTGATGAAAAGGTTGTAATGTCCGTAATACAAAATGGAATTCGTCAGTTTGATAAAAAGTTTGGGTGCAAGAGAGGTCCACAGGATGACACTGTGAGCCATGGCAATAAAGATGACAATGCTGCTAGTTATAATAACACACCAAGTGGAAGTAACCATTGCCGCAATGTCTTTGAACTTGCACAAGCACGAACAAAGGGATGACCGGCCACTAAAAGAATGAAAGCTCGTTCTGAGAGATAGAAGCCGAAGGGAAAAAAAAGAAATGCACACTCTGCAATGGTAGTGGGCATGTTTGCTTGTCATGTCCGTCGTTCGTTTGTGATAGGTACAACTACATACTTTTACATCATTTTAATTTGCAATTGTATTAGCTTCATTATTGTTGATGTATTTGATTTACACTTGTATTAGCTTCAATTGAAATGCTAACATATGAATTTATCTTCCTCTTACAGGGCTAAGAACAAACCACACTGTAAGCTTTGGACCCATAAAAGGTAGCAGATGTGTGTTGATAGCAAGAAGCAATTGTTTGGAAAGCGTATTTGTAAGTTCATTTTGAAACATCTTTATATGTGTGTAAGTTCATTTTGGAACACTATTGTCACTCATCATAATGTGTTTTATGTCTCAAACAGAGAAGACAAATTCATATGAAACAACTTCAAAGAAGGGGCTTTGTTGCAACCATTGCTACAATTACAGCTTGCTGAATTTTATTTATTTTTGACAAATTTGGTGTTAAACTTATGGCATTATTGTTGTAGATTGTATGGCATTGTAGGCTTTTCAAGTGAGAAAATCATCCAGTTTTGTGTTAGCTTATTGTCACTATTTGAGTACGTTCTCGAAAATTCAATTACGTCGATTGGAAGCCAGTATAATCCTATTTGTTCCTCATATTCAATTGCAAAATAATTTCGTAGTTTTGTTTGCCAATTAGACCATGCTATAGTCATTAGATGTATGGATATGCAATGTATCATGCTCTGACCCAATGTTGCTTGTATCATACTCTGACCCAATGTTTCTTATATTGTGGGAAATCTGAGTAGGTTTGCTAGTAATCTTGGTGAAGAGCATGACAAATACTGTTTATAGGATCCTGCACTATCCGAAGGGACTATAGACTTGGCCCTATGTTATGTGGTTGAAACCACTACACATATTTTGCCTAATATTGTATAGTACGATGTTACAAACATCCGACCGGCTTTTTTTATATTTTAATAGCCCGAGCTTTTGAAAATTGGATTGTTTTTGAACCACCATTTTTCCTAGGCATCTATGGTCTAATGTTCGAAAGCCTCATACTGCTGAAATATAAAAATCTACGAAGAATGGTGGTGTCATCTTTGTAGCATTGGACCGCCTTACAAAGAAGGATGGACAAAAAATGTAAGGCAGTCTTATGTTGCAGTTACTGGACTGCCCTACAAATAAAGTGGTTCGATATTTTAAACATCAGATAGCCTCACAAATGTCTAAAAAAAAAATAAAATAAAAAATTAAGTGGTTTGATAGCTAAAATAGGGTTTTTTTTAAAGGTTTGAATAACCCAAAAGCAAACAGCCCCCTCACTAGAATGAAAAGAAAAGCGGAGTAAAAGGGGTCCCTGTTTCCTTTCCATACCAAAGCTATGGGTGGAAATCCTGGCACGCATGTCTTTCCAACTGACTTTTTGGGTGGGAATAGCAGAGACAGAGCTACTATCATTATTCCCCAGTAAAAGAGTTGCCAATGGGGCAAAGGATTTTCCCATTGAGACCACAATGAGGGGGCACTATCTAGTTCTGTGGGGTTCATGGCTTACAAATTAAGTGGGGCTAACAGTCCAAAGGGCCAAAGCTCACAAAGTTGATGATTACCCATTTTGATAAATAAGATATAGTTGAAGGTAGGGCTAGCAAGGGACGGGCGAGCCCTAACCCTAGCCCAGCTCTATTCCCATAAGGGCCGGTCCAAGCCATATCAGGGCGGGACTTGGTAAAATTAAAGAAAACAAAGCAAAAAAAGATGAATAAATAAGGGCTGGGTAGGGCATGTCTTGGCCTGGCCCAGTTCTATTCCCACAAGGGCCAGCCCAAGCCTTATCAGGGCCAGACTTGCGTAAAATTAAAGAAAACAAAGCAAAAAAGATGAATAAATAAGGGCTGGGTAGGGCATGTCTTGGCCTGGCCAAGGTATGGTACTCCAGGCATATTCAGTAGCCCAGGCCCTAGGTTTTAGAGCTGGGGCCAACCTGACCAGGCCACCCTGTCCATTGCCACCTCTACTTGAAGGGCTGAGAAAAGCACTTCCTATAGAGCCTAGATATCCCCATGATATTATATTTGGGATTTCATAGGGAGAATCTATTACAAACTAAATAAATAGATAGATATATAGCTTAGGTACACTGTTGTTCTATCCAGAGAGAGAGAGAGATTGGGCCATGCTACAATTTATGACAATTAATTTGTTGGGTCAAATTCAGGCAAGTTTGGTTTCTTCCCATCACCAACCATTATTCTTCAAAGATTGAAACCCTAACCCTACACCATATAAAAAAATTACGGGAAGACTCAGACTTCACGTGCTTTCTTTTCCCCACCAAGACAAAGCCCCAAACAAAAATTCTTTTTGACCTGTCATCCAATGTTGTTGTAGGATTCCAAGGCTGGTGGCTGCAATAATAATAACAAATGATTTCCAACCAAAACTTTGCATTCCACATTTATGACAGTCGAGAGCTCAGAAAATACTAAAAACAAACAGTATGCATCAGCACATGAAAGATAAAAAAGTAAAGAAGGTTTGAAGCCAGTTAAACTGCACATACAGTAGTACAGGAGGCTCCCAACATTTTTCTTCTTTTTCTCTCTTTTAGCAATGTCTCTCTGGTGATCCACACTACTGACCATGGCCACCATGAAAGAGCTCTCTTCCTTTTTATTACAAAGCCCCAATTGAAAATGGCACATGAAGGTATATAAAACAATAAGGACAGCCATAAAAGGAGCCCTGCAATTGTTACAGTATGCACTCCAGCCACTGGAAACCCATCTCTCTCTCCCTCTGAGATTACTCCTGAATCATAAGATGAATCCCCAGTATCAGGCTCCGTAACTTTGAGATCTTCCCTTACTTGGCCTTTTCGAAAGTTTCTTCGCAGTTTTCTCCCTCTCAACCGGTTGCCCCTACTAACCTCTCTAGAATCTCCAATACATGCCTCATTGAAGGCCTTCTCTCGGGGTTTACCTGAACGCAAGCCAGTGCAATCTTCAGCAACCCCAAAATCTCCTCTTCTCTCTTTAAGTCTTCCATCAAAACTGGATCTAAAACTTCAGATAGCTGCTTCTTCTCCTCGATGCAATGCTGAACCCATTTCACTAAATCCATTTCCAAACTACCCAAAAGAACAGCAGGAGATCGACCAGAAACAAGCTCTAACAAAATCACACCATAAGAGTAAACATCCCATTTTTGAGATGGTTTCAATAGCTTCAAAGCTTCAGGTGCTTGGTAGCAAGAACCCTGGTTCACTACCAAAGTGGCCGGAACATCAGACTTGTTGGTCTCACTTGTGACCCTACCAGATTGGTTTTCTGGGGAATTCCCCGCAATATTAGCAAGGCGACCAAGCCCGAAGTCGGAGACATATGGCTCCATGTTTAGGCCGAGAAGAATATTGCTGGGTTTGAGATCTCCATGGACATATTTTTTGGGGCTGAATTCATGAAGAAAAGCCATGGCTTTGGCTACTCCCCTTGCGATTTTTAGTCGAGCAGGCCATGGCAGAGGTGAAAACGTTGCATTTCCAGCCTTTCCTGTAACCAGAGATATTACAACACAAAAATTCAGAAGCACTTATAGATTCCAGCAGTCCTCTACCAGATTCAGAGGCAATTAATGAAAACCCACAGTAAATATATAGTGCCTAGAAAACTGATCAACCTACAGGAGACAAACTTAACAAGAAATAGTTCTAGATTCTAAGTGTTTTTGGGTTCAAATTGAAAGACCATCAAGAAAATCATGGACAAATTCTAGATTGTAAACCCTCCCATTAGGGATAATACTTCCTTTTTTTTTTTAAGAAGTCAGTCAGGTACAAAATGATTCCCAAAACAACAATTAGATACAAAAAGTCTAGCCATTAGTAGGGAAAATATACAAAGAGACTGTTTACTTTTTGTACAAAGAGGTCACAATCATTCTTGCCCTTTGGATTTCAAATTGGGTGATTGTAATAGTATCATTGAAAAGACTTCAATTTTTTTTTAAAAAAAATTATGGACTTCGTGACTAGCCCAAGCCGTCCAATTTGACATCTAATGAATAGGAGTGATTGTGACCTCCTTGTAATAAAGATAAATGGTCTCATTGTATCCAATTCAACGAAGGGAAATTTGGATATGTTTTGAATTTAAACCTTCATGTTTTAGGCATTAGTTTGTAAAATTATTTTGGCAATATGAATTTTTTCCTTTTTTTAAAAGATAAAGTCTTTTGAAGAATTGAAAAACACACACACCCATCAATGCAACACATCATTTGTGCCTAAAATGGAAAAGAAATTAGAAAAAGTGAACTAGCTAATTCAAGAAGAAATAATAGTCCAGTTAAGATCCCACCTTTTTTTTTAAAAAAGTTGATTGTATTTTTGTATGATAATAAGAACAAAGGTTACATAGAATAAGTGGTACTCACAACTAGCCACTAGAAGTTTTTTTTCTCAAAACTGTTTGTGTGTAAACAAAATTTCGATAAAAAAATCCTCACTCAGGAGATAGACCTGTATAAAACCTCAGTGCACCACTCCTACGGGGGGACAATAATGAATGGGGCGCTCAGAGCCCATTCCCCAACTAGAAAATCAAGAATACTCAAAATGAATCAAAGAAGAAGCCACCATACATTAACATTCGAGAAAAAGAAGCCACCATACATCTCTTCACTAGCTAATCAATCAGTTGTTTTGGCACAAACAGTTTTTGTTATTTCTCCTCACTAGTCTTGTTTATATGTTCGGCAGTTAGCACAGTACTATTTTAGAGGCATGATACAGCTCGTGATCATATCCTGCCACAACCAATCTTCTTAAATTTTTTCCTTTTTATCAATAAAATAAATGGAGAAATTAACAAAAATGGAAATTCAGCAATTCTTTATCATGTGTTAAATATAAATTTGCAGACGTGCGACAAAAGAACAACAAACGGTTGGGGGATAGATAACTGACCATGAATTGCATTATCAAGGTTCCCATTGGGTATGTAGTCATAGATGAGCAGTTTCTCATCAACAGACCAATAATAAGCACGAAGAGTCACAATATTTGGATGCCTCAGCCTTCCAATGGCTTCAACCTCAGTCTGAAACTCCTTAAACCTTTGAGAACCACCTTCTCCAAGTCTCCTAACTGCAAGAGTTAACCCATCTTCAAGGACGACCTTATATACAATCCCAATCTCACTTTTCCCCAAAACAAAAGCCGAGGCCCTCAAAAGCTCATCGAGATCAAAACCGACTTGAGCATCAAGAGCTACCAGATCAAACTGCTCAACATTTTCAGAAAGAGTCTCTGATTCTTCTTTTCGGAAGCACAAACAATCCCTTTTACCCTTTCTACCCTTATCAGATTCAGAAACCTCTTCCTTTTGGCCATGGCAGGAAACCACTCTCCAATAACAGAAGAGAAAAACCAGTGCAATCAAGGCTATAGCCACAGCATCACTCACTACAATAGAAATTATCAGTCCCCTACTAAACTTCCGGTGCTTATTGTCACTCTTGTCAACGTCACTTGATGGAGGCGAGTAATTATTTGGCAAATTAGGGATGGTAGAAGTTGGAGGGAGACTAGAAGATCCAGGACATGGGTTTCTCAGAGGAGGACCACAAAGTTCCAGGTTCCCAATAAAAGCTGTTGGTCCTCTACTAATTAGAGCTCCATTCTGAGGAATTGGTCCACTAAGATTATTATATGTGAGATCGATATAGACCTTTTCAGGGAGATCACCAAGCGATGGAGGGATTGAGCCAGAGAAGAAATTGTGAGAGAGATCCACAGTTCCTTGAAGGCTTGACAAATTCCCCATATCACTAGGAATAGAGCCATTCAGAGCATTATAAGAAAGATCGAGCTTTTCAAGAATTGGGAAGCCATTACCAAACCCAAGAGGAAGCATACCTGTGAAATTGTTATGGCTAAGAACCAGAGACTTCAGCCTGCTGCAGTTAGAGAGAAACGACGGGATGGATCCAGAGAGAGTATTTTCCGACAAATCGAGGATTTGAAGGTACCTGAGCTTCCCTATAGACTCAGGGAGAGAACCAGAGAGAGAATTTCCGATGAAGACAATGCTTTGAAGAGATTCGGCCTTGAATAGATCAGGGGGAATGCTTCCATTAAGCCTATTGTTTCGAAGATTTAAATGGCGCAGGGAGAAAATAGAACCAAGAACAGAAGGGAGAATGCCAAGAAGGCGTTTCTTGGGAATGCTCAGAGAGACGACACTGTTATCTTTGCATGCAATCCCATTCCATGAACATGGGGTCTCATCAGATGTATTCCAGTTAGCTAAAGCATTCTCAGGGTCCTCTTTAATGGCTTCCTTGAATGATAATAAAGCTATCCCATCTTTGTTTACAGATCCAGCAGGGTTGCTAAAGTTGCAGAGTAATAAGAACAGACATACCAGCACATGCACCATTCCTGCAAAACCAGTCATTCGAAGTCACCTCAAACTCAAAGGGACTGTACTAACCCAAATGAAGCTCTTTTAATGGCAGTCCTCAGAGAGATATACATAATTTTCTTCATCAAAAGTAGAAAACCCAGAACAGAGAACTCGGATAAGGTGCGAAAGACTGAAACTTCCAAATGGAATATTAGATGGTTGTTGCAGGTCTTTTTTACTGAACTTTCAAGAGAGAGACACAGAGAGCTAGAGAGCAAATCGGCGACTAATTAACCATTTGAATCCATTAAAACCACAATAAAAAGAGAGAAAAACATGGCCTGTGGATACTTGAAAGAGATAATAGAAATTTTTTGCAGAATCTTACCTTTACCGCAGTTGTGGTAACAAAAAGTAACAGAAAATGTAAGAAAAACAAATTAAATTAAAACCCAAAACACTGTTAAAGCCTCAAACTTTAAAGGATGCACTTGCATGCGTTTTATTTGACTTAATCTCTGAAAAAGCATCAGGAAGTAAATGCAAAACTCAAGATTCAAGAAAATAGAATTGTTTTGAAGCTTGTTAAGAAAAAGAGGAGAAGAGAAAAGGAGATTCCTCCACTCTTTAGTAAAGCAAAAAGGCATCTATCTTACCTCTTTTGATTGATGAACTCTCTAACAGGGGATATGATTATGACCGTTAAAATTGGGGACCCCAACAGATTTAGAGATACTCTTACTTCAGATGGGGGTTTTTACTGCATTCAGAGAGAGAGAGAGAAAGTCGCAGCAGACAATTTGGGGAGAAAGAAATAGTTGAAGCAGACTTGAGAGAGAGAGACAGAGAGAGAGAGAGAGAGTGAAGTTTATCAGTCCAAAACCAAAGTATCTCTACATAGAGAGAGAGAGGACCGCAGCGAGCTTTGCTTATTGATGAAATGGAGAGAGAGAGAAAGAGAGAGATGCAGAGAGCTTTTTTTGCTGATGAAAATGGGGGAAAGAGAGAGAGAGAGTTGAGTTTTCCTTGAAATGTTGCTTTGGAAGAGAGAGAGAGAGTTGCAGAGAAGAGAGAGATGCTGATTGTGGGTCGGAAACCGAAAGTAGCCGTTTCTCATTATGGGAAATTGCCCAGCTTTCTCTTTTTAGTAATGATGACTAATAACACCCTCAAACATTCAGAAATATCTAAAATAACCTAGAGACCTCCACATTCATCACAACGGCACTATTGAGCCAATATTTGTTCTAAAATTCTGTCATAGCCTTTTTTTTATTTTTATGTGGGAAGATATTTGTATGTAGTGAATCGGTTTCTATGCTGCGAAACCCACATATGTACAAATGTGGACCCCTTAATAAATTTATTTTTAAGATGGATTTTATGACTCAATTTGTAAGGACATGAAATCTCTAGCATAGAAATCATGAATATAAAAAAATAATAAACTAGAAATAACAATTATAGTAAGAAAATGTTTGGACTGTTAGTTTCCATTATTTTTAGATGGAACACCTACTTGCATCTATCTTTAAGATGGATGCTTTACACTTTCTGGACTGCATATGTAAAAATGCGATCCAGTTCGCATGAAACAAATTTTTTTTTTACTTTTGGTACAAGGTGATCACAATTAATCTTGACAATTAGATGTGAATTTGAGTAACTGTATTTATTTCATTGACTAAACGTAAAGTTTAAATTTTTTTTTTCAAACTTTGTGACATACTTACGCAATCAGGTTTCACATCAGATGATTGTAAGTAATTGTGACCTCCTTGTATGAAAAATAAATGGTCTCATTGTATACCATTTAGTTTATATAAGGTTGCAATATGAAACTTTAGATTTAAGGTGCATCTCAAAAAATTCATAAAAAAAGACTTGTTGAAGTATGGTCACTAAGGCCTTACGACTACAATAGTGTTCATGGTCCCTATCTTACATTCTATTTTTTAATGCATTTAATTTACTTTAATTATATTATATACTTGCTATAATGGTCTCATTGTATTCAAATCTTTTGACTATCTTTTATGGTCAATCTCATTTTCTTTTTTTCTTTTTCTTAACCACCCATCAATGATTTTCTAACGGTCAAATGAAACTAAACGTTTTTCTTTGGGGTAAGAGTGAGAGAGAATAAAAAAAAAAGAAAAGCAGGCTTAGCTATTGATATGGACAAAGAGAAATCTAAACCATTGGATACAAAATCTGTCATATGTAGCAAGGGGATAAGCTCTAGTGCTTATAAGAGGGGTTCACTCACCCACTATAAAACATAGAGAAAATTCTCAATGTCATTGACCATCACTCTAGTTATCCACAAGCTTATCAACAAAATTTCTTTTTCCATATCTATCTTTCTCTATCTATCATTTTCAATTGAATTGCTTTTTTAATTATTTTTCGACAGTTTCAATGTTGAAAAACTCTCTAATTGACTATCTTGGCATCAAGATATATAGATATTGGCAAAAACAAAGATTTCGAGTCCAAGATATAATGCATTTTGTAACACATGATTTAGACCATCTATTTTCAAGATTTTCATATATTTATAGATCTACTTGATTTGAACTATTTTAGAGTTTAAATTTTTATAATTAGAGATGAAAATAACAAAGCTTTTTCCTAACTAATTGATGTCGGTTACATGAATCCTGATACATTATTCTTCTCTACTAAAGGCCATACCCATAGTGAGGCCATAAGTCCCCATATCTTTTCTCACTACTTTCAACCGTGTCTTTTTGGGCCCATTCCGAGAAAGAATGAAGGGAAGAATGGGGTTACAAGAAGTTGAGAGTGTGCATTACCACGGTTTCCGTATGAAACGGGGCGTAGCATGAGAGAGAAAGAATGGAGCTGAAGGTTTACTATGGTCACGCTCAAAGCAAAGGAGATAATAGAAAGAGGAAGGGAATAACGGAACTGCAAGTTTGCTGCGTTCACGCACTAAGCAATGGAGAGAAGAGAAAGATGAGAGAATAACGGGGCTGTAGTTCTACTGTGACTTCGAGTTGTCGTGAGGAAGAGAAGAGTGTAGAGAGAGACGAGGATGCATGTGCTGCGGCTCTGAGATTTAATGCATGACGAGAACGAGAGAGAGACGGGGCCGTGGGTGTTGCGGCTTCGTTCGCAGTAAAAGAGAAAAAAGCGCGAAGAGAGACGGGAGAAAAGGGAGAAGAGACGAAGCCGCAGGTTTGCTGTAGTTTCGAGTTACTGTGCGGGAATGATGCAGTTGGGAGAGAAAAAAAGAGGAAATAGGAGATACATAGGAGAGAGAGTAGGCTTGAGGTGTGACCTAGCCTAGGTACGCCGTCTTAACCTCTTTGTTTTCACATGAGAGAGAGAGAGAATGGTCAACCACAAATCAAGGTTGGTGTGCATGGATCACGGGGTAGGCTACGGTGTATGAATATGGGTGGTTTAAGGTCTAGACTGAGATGCAGGGGCTACAGTGTAGGCTAGGGTGTATCGGCTAGGGGTAGTTTCTCTCTAAAATTTTTCTCTCTCCTAACCACTGGATCCAAGAGTTAGAAGCATAGCCAAGTGGACACAATCTAATGCCTCAATTTCATTCACGAATGATCCAGCCCTTTTACAATTGACGTAAGCTTGTTTATATAGAGCAACCCCCAAACATAGGTGGAATGTTCAAAACTAAGCCAAATTGCTGAAAATTACATATTAAATGAATTAACATAAAATCCCGTTTTTGAGCATAATGACCAAAATACCTTTTCAATCTTTTGAGCAAATGGAGAAACCATCCCTCCTTGAAGGGACTTCTCGCTATTGCTAGACTTCAAGAGCTTTTCCGGACCTTTGCAGTGGTGACTTGGGCGATCATTCGTCATAGAATCGATCCTTAATCTATCATGAACATTTTGATGCCTTTTGATCGTATTGAGACATATTTTTCCCGAGGGACAAAAATCCGGCCGTGTCCATAAACTCCGACCACCAATGTAGTGCGATCCATGATGTTTCAAGTCCTTATTTTGATCACGAGTAAAAGAGGACATTGTCATGATCATTCTGCACCAAACTTTGTCCGATTTGATTTCCATTTGAGCACATTCTAAATTTGGAAAGTCGCTGGAAAATGGGATTTCGACGACCTGAAAATCTTTCCATTTCCAACATTGAAATTTGTGTTATCCAACCCTCAATTAAGGGAAAAAATTATACCAAACTATACCCCCTTCGCGATGCGGTCGCAATGGACCTGTACTTGCAATGGTTTGATACTCGGATCTCAAGTTATGACTTCATAAAGTACGAGATGTCTTCTTTCAAAATTTTGATTTTCATGCTTTTCAGCTCATCTTCTCTGCAGAGATTCTCTTGTCTCGGGCCACGTCGTGATGCATGCCATACATCAAAACGACCGGGTTATCGAAACCTAGTTCGCATCCGAATTTGAGTATGTTTCGACTCAAATATGCATATTTGCAAGAAAGTAGAAATCAATCATATCATTTAAGATTTACATCAAAACCCTCAAAGGAAAGGAAAAACCACATGCCATCAAAGACGATATCCACTATGCCATAAAATAATTCAAATATTTTTCCCAAGTTGATTAACTATTACTTGATTTGGAAAAAAAACAAAACCATAAAAATTACAAGGTTATCTCTGTGGGAACAATTTCCTCATCTATTTCCCTTTATCAAAAGCGTAGTAAACACTTCTTGCTAACCAAGTTTCTAACATGTATGAAGTACCAAACTTGTTGAGAGTTGTAGAAGGGAAGTCTTCTATAAATTTGCTGCATATTTAAACACTGAGAGAGAGAATACATACTTCAATCTCTCCCTTTAATATTTTTAGTTCTCTTGCCCCATAAAAATAAGAAGATTCTTTCTATAATTAAAAATGATAATTATAATTTATTTTTTCTAAAAATTGCCTTTCCAAAACTTTCTTTACCCTAAAATGGTCTTGAATCCTGGTCTAGAACTCAACTGTCTTAGTAAATAAGTCTATAACACTCGAAAAAAAGAAACACACAAGGGGTGTTTGATAACGGTGAATGGGTGGGAAAGTCCCCGACTTTCTCCCATGTTGTAGCTTTCCCTAATTTGGGAACAGTAAAAAGGTAGAAACTCGGAACGAACCTTTTCCCCGAACACTATTCTGTAGGGTAAAGTTGTGGTCCATGTCCACCCCCAGCTTTGCAACTTTCACAAAAAGTTAATGGGCAAGAACCCCGAGAAAACTCTGGCTCTCTTCTCTCGCTCGCATTGAAGCTGCCGCCCAATGTTCCTTCATCCCTGTTCACACCAACAAAAGGCCTACCACCCTCAACCAGGTGCTCTCTCATCAGCTCTCTCTCTCTCTCTCTCTCTCTCTCTCAATTCCTCTATCCCTTGGGTGGGGACTGTTAGTAGCAGGAAGTTTGTTCGTTTCTCTCTCTAAAAGGTATCTTCTCTCGTTCCCATGATTGTATAGCTCTCTTTACAAAGTCACTTCTTTCTTTTTCATGACATTTAGGTTTCTTCTCCTTGATTCAATCTAGGGTTTTTGGGCTCCAAGAGTCTGTGGCATTGTATTGAGAGGCTTGTTTTTGCTGATGTTATTTATGGTTTTAATCATAAGGTTAATGTTCCACCTTTCTAGTGTATTTCTTCTTATGTTG